TAAGAGTGCAGTCTTAACTGTTACTGTCTCCGTTCCCCAGAGCAATTGATTAATGTTTATAATTATCTGCCCATGGTTTGAGAATATATTCGTTGAGGATCTCGAAAAAGAAGAGTGGTATCACGGTTGCTTACCACTCGACGATATCATGAACCAGCTCAAGAAGAACGGCGATTTCCTACTAAGACTTGCACACGGCGACAGTGGAAAATCCTCTACTGTAAGTGGGTTCAAAAATGAATCCTGGCAAGAGACACTAAAATTCCAAAGGCGAAATTCACGATAAATCAAGTTATGCCTCCGTCTGGAGCAATTACTTTAGGCATTCATGAGCTCTATCGATGTTGGATGACCTCATATTCCAAAAACGGTGGAGGCAGTGAATAGGGGCTGAATAAGGGCTACTCATGTGATAGGGATGCTTGAGTCCGAGTGTTTCATTTTTAGGTCTACGTTTCCGTTAAATGGGATGTACTGTGTGAATTTCCCATAAATAGCAAAGGATCTCACGCTGCACGAAAGTTTTCTATAGATGGAAAAAATGAATTTCCTCTCATCATGGAGGTGGTAAGGTAAGTAGTAGCTGTTTCGGCGCTAACTTGAGAGGGGATAGAGGGGGTGCATGACTCTGGCTTATCCGGGCTGGCACGCGGCAAATTGCGCGGCAAGCGTCGAAGCGATCCGGACGAGATGAAATTTCTTTAGTCTCTGCATTGGGCTTGAAAACGTTAATGCGTGAGCGGATCGCGAATAAACAATGCAGGATTTTTTGGTTTGAATAATATTACAGCGTCTTGAGATTGAGTTCAAAGGTAATCTTCGGTAGGGCGGGTTGAGGAGGAGCTAGCATGATGTTGTTATGCTATCGCGAAAGCATATAGAGAATGAATTGCCCCTTACGTTCAAAGCGTTACTCAAAATTTCCACTCCGTGTGCGAGGCCAAGCAGTTGCGGGGACAGAAGAATTTAAGGTGAAACTCCAGGGGGGGGGGGGGGGGGCACTCCATTGCTATCTTATCCGTAGTACTAGAGAGCAGTTCTTTGGGCTATCGAACACTACGGATAAGATAATAAGTGAACGACTCATTTCGAGCGTACTTTTGATAAGGACCGGTGGATGTCCTACATTCCACACTACCTGCCCACATCCCATCCACTTTTCTGCACAGGTGATCCACCCTGGAGCTCCTGCACCCTTAGCCCTTTGCGGAGGTGTCCTTTCTCCTGGTCCAGGACCGTTCCCTTGGGTCATGGCAGGCGGAATGTGAAACGGGTTCAGGGTCTCTCACCTCAATTATACACCAAATTATTATGCGAATCACTTTAAAGGAGGATTTTACGATTAGAATGGAGGTCGAGGAAGAAGTAATTCACCTAGTTGAGTAACCCACGGACCTCCTGAGGGTGCGAACTGATGCGCAATTCGCATCGAAAAATTTGACCTCGGCGACCTATTATGCCTCAAGTTGGCGGGTCTGGCGATCTCCGCCCACCGACCAGCTGATCACTCGCCGCAGATCTATACGTGGGATTGATTAGATAGCAGAGAGAGCGTGATGTTGAGGAGGGCACAGCGATAAGAGTCGCATCAATGCGCAAATCAGCGGGGAAGGAAGGGGTCCCATTTCTCGGGTTCTGGGCCGTTTCTCATGGTTCTTCCTTCTTTCGTGTACCAATCACCATCCCTGAGTTAATTTGAAATGGGTTGCCTTCCCAGCGTGAATTCGTCCTTTAAATGAGTCGATTACGTGTCGTGAGCCCTCTAATCCTTATCTTGAGTATTGGAGAAAAAATGGAGTGGCCCCCCCCGAACTGGAGTTTCACCGAATTGTAATACATATTCAAGTGACCAGAACTTTCTTCAGTGCACACAACAGACTAGCCTATCCATAAGATTCATGTCAGAAACCACTCGCACGTGAACATCTGTCGTGGCTCACTCAATAGCGTATGTTGTATAATCATGAACTGGCTGTTCAACCGTCTTATTACCCTTACTCACCAACGCGTCTACCCTATCACCATAAAATCTGTACTACGATTTCATTCGAATGAGGTCTCGTAAAAAAACTTTGAGTTGACTCTGTTACCTCTCTTAGGAAAATTCTGATTTTAGTTACACTAGAATACTGAGTTGTAAACAAAACTTTCGCCTCAGACGAGACTCGAACCTACCCCATACCAGTATTGCTTACCGTGCAAAAACGCAACAATTTACGCTACTGGAGCACCATTCATTCATTCCAATTCATGGTTAGCTTTTCATGGTCTACTTACCATAGCTGGTCAGCATTCACGCGTATAACGTGCTGAGCCGCATAGCTGACATCGGCAATGATCCGAGGCTGCAAGCTTAAAAGGCATGCCCCAGGATCGCACTGGTGTGGCTCTTGCACACGAATGTGAATGTATCGGTGCCAAGTGGGCCGGCAGTGAAGAAAAAAGGAAAAGAATCCGTCGAAAACGCTCAGGTTGAGGGCTCACTCACCTTCCTAATTGGCTGTGCTAAAGGAACGAGAGACTAAGCGCGAAGAGGAGAGTATGGGGCGAGAGAGCGCATCAGATGAGAGAGCACCAGACAACGGCCTGATAAGAGAGCTCGTTCGCTGCAGCTCGAGCAGCTTACTTTGCAAGCCCAAAGCGTTCTTGTCGGTCGAATTCCGTGCACGTGAACGCCACATTTGTGATTGTCCCCTAGGGTTCTATACTTCTGACCGAAGAGAAGAGTTCACACGACCTCTGCCTGGGTTGTGCCTTTAATGAATTTTGATTGTTTCGTAGTTATTACGCCTTTTTTCCACAGCTGATCTTGACCGAGCATTGTTGCGAAACTAATTGGTAGCGTAACTTGTAGCGCACCTTGCCCGGTAAGCAAGAGGTGCGGGTTCGAGTCCCGTCTGGGGCGAAAGTTTTGTTCACAACCCAGCATTCTTGTGAAACATTCGCAAGGCGAACTGCGGCCAAAAACAGCAGTTAACAAACAAACAGTTAACAAACAAAGCCTAATTTTAGTGTTTTTGCTTCAATGATGGTAGTTGTTGTGAAGGTTCTCTATGATCTCTGACATCTCTTTAGCGACCTCGCTGCGTTCCAATCTCCACTTGTGCAAAAATTTTCAAATCTCAGATTCATACGATGTTTCTCCGCAATCTGCACACGACTTGACATATTAAATTTTATTGTAAAAGCCCGGATCCGTGCAGCTTGCCAATTTACCGAGCAAAATGACGCATTTCGTCAACATAATAGCCTGTGCTCATGATCAGCTTGTCGATGTCTAAGCCAGTAATCTACTGTGCTAGACAAAATTGACACACACTAGAAGGCGTAGGAACTGACCAAGTGGGGAGGGATACGGGAAAGGGGTGGAGTTAAGTGACTATGACCATAGCTTGGCCGAGGGTAAGGTCAATTCAAAATCACTGAACGAAAATACAATCTGAACGACCCAGCCAAGCAAGAGATTTATTATTAGTGGACATGTGCTCTATCCGGAGTCTTCAGGTATCATCACACCAATAGCGTCCCTGTCAGCAGGGACATCTTGCTGAAAACTCCAATATCAAAGGAACGATGGGAGCTAACTAAAGACAAAGTAACACTTGATACAAAAATTGGCGAAGGTGCTTTCGGAGAAGTTTGGAAGGGCACTCTCAAGGAAGACCCATCAAAGCCACCTATTGATGTCGCTGTTAAAGTGGTATGTTATCTTTGTTGGTTCTATAAAGTTAGATGTGCCAATTCTGAAGGCATGGCCAGTTGCGTGGCGCGCACCATCTCAGGGGTCGGTCACAGCAAGCCCCGGCCAAGGAATGGGCCCGCCAAAACTCTGCGTCTCTATTCCGGTCGATGACGCAATCCTTATGATCGGGAATAGGGGAAGCGTCCAGAGATGCAGAGTTTTGAGGGACCCATCCCCGATCGGGCTTGCTGCACCCGGCCCCATAGATGCCAGTGTCCACGTTTAAAGTAGGTGCACAATACCGTTATAACGTTATACAGGTCGATAATCCTACACTCGGACAGAATTGAAGTCAGGAATCAGCGACAGCCCGCCACGATTTGCCGGCCGTTCTGGGAAGTAAAGCGCATGTGTTCTGCTGAATGATCGACCGAGTTCTCAACGACTGTTCGCAGCAAGCCAGGATCGTACCAGTGATAAAAAGTTATTGAGAGCCTGAGGCAGCAAAGAGCACAACGATTCCGATTTGGAAGAAAAAGGCCCTGCTGACTGTACGAGCTACCGTCCAATCCGCCTGCTCTCGCACAGCATGAAGATCTTTGAGCGAATTGTGGACGGCCGTATTCGTGACATCGTGCAGCTTTCCATCAACCAGTGTGGATTTGTGTCAGGCTGCGGCACCATCGATGCAATACATGCCGCCCGCCTTCTGCTGGAAAGACATCGCGAGAAAAGAAAAGCTGTGCATCTTGCCTTCCTGGACCTGGAGAAGGCTTTTGATCGCGTTCCTCGAGAAGTTATATGGTATGCTTTGCGACGTTCCTGAAGAGCTTATTGAATGGATGCGCATACTTCATTCAAACCCAAAGAGCCCGGTGCAAAAGATAGCAGGTTCTTAGATGGAATTCCCCATCTCTGTCGATGGGCACCAAGGCTCTGTGCTTTCCCCACCCCCGATTCGTTGTCAGTATGTGCTATTTCGCGAAATCTTCGAAAGCCCGTTCTAGACGCTGCTTTATGCTGACGAAGTGATGCTCGCCCTGCGAAGACACAAAGCCACTCGAACAACAAGTGCAGGCTTAGTCTGATCACCTGGTGATGTTCGGGCTTAGGTTGAACGTCAAAAAAAAAAACGAGTAATTGTGAACCGAATCAAATTAGCTTGGTTCTATCAGTCCAACGGAGCTGAGCTTACACGCTCGATGACTTTCATGTGTCTCTTAATGCACCTGACGACCAGTGGCTAAGAAATTAACTGCATCATTCCAGACAAAATTATGCGAAGAGAACAAGGCAAAGATTGATGACATGCATCGAGAAGCTCGTATGATGCGACAGTATAAGCACAGGTTTTTTCCCACTAGTCTCAGTTGCTTAATATAATTACAAGTTGAGTTGCGTATGCATCAAGTAGGCAGGTTAGCCTATGGAAGAATGAATGGAAGAGCAAGTCAAAATATTTGAATGATTAGCATGAGCGAAAAAATGATACTGAAAAATCTAAGATTAATCTAAAGTTTTCTTATCGTCATTCGTCACGGACCTGCTGCTGGCCAGCCTTGTTACGCTTCACGGCCGCAAGCCTGTTATCTCTGTGGTAAATTCCATGAAATATCTTACCAGGAAAAAATTAAAGGCAGCAACCACATTACTAGCACACAAGGTGTTGCGGTTTGAGAGCAGCGCCCTTCTAACCCCCATCACGACGCGAGGTGCTCTCGCGGCCGTTACCAGCCACGAGTCATCCTGCGCATCCGTCCCGGTGATAATGCTAGTTCCACCCTTCAGCCCCTCTGGACCGTTACGGTTGCCTTAAATAAGAGAAAGCAGGTCAAGAGATTAACGACCCGCAAATACGCGGATTAGCCGCGGCCAGGCTTTCTTGGGAATGGCACGGCGCCAGGACATCCTTTCCCTCACTGCAACTACCCATAATAACAGCAAACACAATAATGACTGCGGCCTTAGTCGGCAGCCGTGAACCCTCAATCCAAACGCCTACCCATGACATGCTCCAAATTTGGTCTACTACATTTATTGGCGGTACTCTTCACTCTGTCCTACGTCGTCATCATCCTAGTGGGCCTGGAGATGTTGTACTACTCGTTTATACTCGATATCCGAAAGTTGGGGTAGGGCGTGTCACCGGAAGTGACGTGCACTTGATAGAAGCTACGTGGATAAGCTGCTTCCAACATACATCGCTGGATATCAGCAAAGCATGCTGGCAACAGCTTATCCACGCAACTTCTATCAAGTGCACGTCACTTCCGGTGACCACACCTACATTTGAGAGACTGGACGGCGAGGCACTCTTTAGATCTTGAAAGCCTGCAGCCGTCCGTCGAGTGTGGCAAACGCTGACGTGCCAGCGGTTCTTACTCGACGGAGCAGCGTGCTCGACCATGCTGCCGATTGCCACTGCTACTCCAAGCCGTTCGCTTGATTCACGGTTCCCACCCGCGCACGCGCTCCTTCCTTAGGAACGAGGTGGTACTAACAGGTAATCCCTCCTAGAGTGCGAAGATTGGTCTCTGAGCCCAGGAGCCGCGATGATGCCGCTGCTAAAAAGTGCACAGCAAAGGGGCTAAGGCATTTTGTCAGCTGCCAGTGCTGTCACTCTACCAATCGCGGTCCGCGCTCTCTCGACTACAGTGTGCTCCGTTATACTGCACAATGGGAAGTACAGTGTTTCCTGTGGCGCTTTCGCTTTTTCTCTTCACTAACGTCCCCGCAATTCTCGTCTGTCATGTCTTTTCAAACAAAATTAGCACAACAATTCGACCCCGACCCGTGCTTTCAAGATGCCGGCTGAAGGCGGGACTGGAGGCAAAGCATGCACTTGAGGCTATTGCATGCCGCGCAATCGCGGTGGCGGAGTGTGACACTCACTATTCTAACCTCTCACGTTCCGCTTTGCTTCACGTCAAGTGGCTTCTCATCCAGCACCCCTTAGATACTACATTCCCCTAGTTGATGGGTTTTCCTGCTCGTAATGTTCGAAGCTGAAACATCCATTCGCCTGCACTCTAGCCTCTCGCGAAAGTAGGAATGTCCAAGTAGCCACGTTCCGTTCCCACCAATGTCACTGTTGCTTTTGGAGACTCCTCGAAATTGCGTTGTTGCTCTGAAAAAACCTTATCTCTATCGGTTGACGAGAACAGAGTCCACGTAGATTCAACTACTCCAAGAAGAGAGAACTTTGTGAACATACCCAGTTTGTAGAGTAGTTGCACGTGAAACGAAGGAATCAAGAAAAATAAAACAACAAAACAAAATGAAAGAAGAACAAACAAAAAAGAAAGAAAAGAAAGTAGCAACACGAAGTATAGAAATGGAGGCATCTCTTGCAGTAACTGATTTTCCTTGTTGAAACTTTGAAGTTTTCAGAAACCACTACATAAGCAAACTTGACCGCACATTTTAGATTAACGTTATGGTTTCCTTGCTTCTCATTTACCCTGCTCCCCTTCCCATACGCAAACTAATGTGCATTGCTCTACAAGCGCTTAAAAAAAACTGTTGAGACTTGTTTTTATTTTGTATGTGCCATAGAGGTTGATAAGGTCAACCGTTATGAATCGTAGCTAACGTTCTACAAATTTGTCGTCGCTCAGAATGCCTAAAATGTGGTTCATAGTTGAGATTTCCATTCTACGTACCATCCCAAGCGCCCTACTGCCGCTCTATGCGTTCCGCATGTCCCGTCAAGAGTTCCATAGAGACGCAATACTAACAAGTGTGGTATATAAACTCCCCCCAGGCTCCATCGTTTTGCGCGCGTAATCCGGCATAACACATTGGACGTTCGTGCAGTAAAAGAAATGGAATCGCCTATCTATATTAGTAACACTTCAGGCACTCTTCGGCCTTCCTAGCAGTGCGATATAGACGGCGAAGGATTATTTGTCGTCGAAGGGCGCTCACCTCACTTGTTCATCGCTTCTTCATCGCTGGCCAGAATGCTTCTGAAGCTTTTTTAGCAACACTTTCCGTTGCATGGCTAACATTGTACACTTTATTCTTTGGAATTCAATGCCATTGTGCTTTTCATTCTTGTGCCTCTCAGGGGCTGTTGAAAGATTCGACGACCGCGTCTCCATGTTAGCACGGCGATCTTTGATTCTGAGGGCTACCACCCCTTCCTGTTCTCATTATAGTTGGCTTACAACTTGCACTTAAATTTATAGGACGCTCCTGCCTATAACGGCCAAATTTCCGCTTAATACGAGTGGCAACGCCAATTGGCAGTTAACACAATCGTCTACACACACTGACTATCATAAGAGCCTTTTGACAACTTGCGTCTCCTTGGTATGGTATTTTTAATTAGGCTGACATCGCTCTGGGCAGCTGTGCTCTCTAATGCTCCGTTAATGCAGTGCTCAGAGAATTGTGGAGTTAGAATGTAATCTGCAACCTGAACCACATTTGGCGCTCTGAGTACGATTTGTATAAACTTTAGCCCGCATTCATATAAGTGTCCATCTATGCAACCTCGGTATGCAGCATACAAATAACACGACAGAACAAGTGATGTCCGAGGTGCAAAAGCATCAGATTTTCGAGAATGGCTGTGAGTCCGTTTTTCATCAATTATCTATTGCATAATTACAGACACGTGGTTGCCTTTCATGGCGTAGTTAACGAAAGTGCTGATCGTGTGATGATCGTAATGGAACTGATTAATGGTGGAGGTCTTGATCACTATCTACAAAAAAATCCTAATGTACATTTTCAGTCATTCTGAAACGTAATCAGTTTTCAGAGAGCACATTCCATCTATTTTAGATTCATCCACAAATGAAAACATTTTACGCAGCCAACGTAGCGTTTGGCTTGGTATACTTGCACAGTAAAAGGTGTATGCATAGGTCAGTGAATCGTTTAGTTTTGTTGGCAATTAAGAAAGAAACATATGCCGTTCACCAACTTGCCTTAAGAGATGTGGCATGCCGCAATTGTCTCATCGACGAGAAAAACAACATCGTTAAAATTTCCGATTTTGGTCTATCGAAACAAGGAGACTCTTACAAAGTTCCTGAAGAAGAGAAACTGGCCATACGATGGTAATTTGGTTTGATTTGAACAATTACTCCGACACACCTGCCGGTTGGTCTCCCACAGAACATAGTTTTGTTTTTTATCTGAGCTGTAACCACAAATACAACTATATAGAAATGGCTCTATCCGAGACCAAGAAGAAAATCGAGTGCAAAACTACAATCTAAGAGCGACGGCCAGGTGGTATGGTGTGGGTCTGCACCTCGATTTTCTCTCGTCTTCAGAAACCCGCAGGTATATTCATTTCCTCTGGAACAGACTGCGCAGACATCTTCAACAGACAGGCTTTCTGCCATTTACCTTTCCCTATAAATTGGAATAATGCACTACTGGCTAATTTACGCACGCTCTGCCCATTTGTTCGTTTATTCAAGGTTTTGATTGTTCAAATGGGGCACTTGCGATTATTGCGATTCGTGCGACGGTCCCTGACACCAGCCTTATGGTTAATCGCTGATCAAGAGGCTCGAGCCGTGGTGTCGCACAAAGTTCTTTTCATACTACTCGACCTAACGCAGCACTCCCAAACCTGCTCAGCAGAATAGTGCATGTCCAAAACTGCTCACTTCAGAATAGGAAAATTTAGGACAAGGTTGGGTGGTAGCCTTGTTTTGTTCAGGAATTGGAAGTGTTGGAAAAGAATCATTATTTCTGTTCACAGAAAATCACAAAATTAAGGCCTTCATCGGTGAGTCGGGGATCGGATTGTTAGGGGTAGGGAATACCTAACAGGACCAAAATCCGATGCCCGGTTTGACATGTATGCCCAAGTGCCCATGTCAAGTGGTGTTATCCCTAGCACCACCCACCTCATATTATTGTCTCAGTGTGAGTATGTGTTGCCAGCTTTTACTGCCACGAACTACTCTTCGATTACTATTTCTACTATAGGGTGGCGGAAAGGCAAAGGCTATGCCCACTAGGATGCTCTAGAAATAAGTTCTTGTTAGTTGTTTTGTTTACTTAGTTTCCATGTCACTACTTTACGTCAGTTGAAGTTGCCTAGTTTGTCCACTTGTTGGATTTCATTCGCTGACTGACTTATGAATTAAAGATTAAATATAAAAGGCGTGGGTAATTCGCCGCGTCCTTTCAAAAGGGATCTCCTTTTTGGTGGAAGTGTCGTGGTGGCGAGGGTAGCCGAGTGCGTACAAAGTGGTACCTGATATCATTTGCTTGGGATGGGCTTTAATGCTCTCAACGATGCCACCTAAAAGCTGTGACCACAATAGCTGGGAAGCGACTGGTTTTTACAACGTCGCTGATCGTTATTACTAGACTAGAATTCTCAGCGCGCTGGGGTGTGGTTGAGACCACCACTTGTTGCACTTCCACCAGTGAAGCTCAGGGACGTCATCAAAAACGACCAAAACTCCTTACAGTCATCGTGGGCATGCCTATGGCAGTAGGAAGGATGCCTCAACATGGAAGTAGTGATCGACAAACAAATTGTAATTTATTGCTCATCAAATCCCTGCTCCTATTGAGAGCCAGTTTTTAGCCAAGTGTACATTAGATCAATTTTCAGGCAAGCTCCAGAAGTGATAGCAACGAGAGTTTACACTCCCGCATGTGACGTTTATTCATATGGGATTCTTGTGTGGGAGATATTTAATGATGCTGAAATGCCATATAAAGGAATTGACAACAAAACGATCAAAGCTAAGGTTCAGAAAAAACTACTGTGTTTCTTATTGAACACAGTGGCATGCAGTGGCTGAGAGGCGGGACAGTTTTCATGGTCGCCACTGGTGTGATAGCGCCGGTGGGTGTAGCGGGATCCTTCTCCAAGCCATTCCATCAGGGATGTGCAATGACGTCATAAAAACCGCTCCGCATTTCAGCCCTCGCATCAAGAACCGTGAGCTTGTCCAATCGGCGTTTTTAACGAAGAATTTCAGATTTCCGAGCCTGACTTCCGTCCAAATATAGACCCTGCCATCCCACATAACGTTCAAGTAGTAATGAAATGTTGTTGGAATGGAGATCCTGCCCAGAGGCCAACTATGAAGCGAGTATTTGAGCTGTTGTTAAGGTTAGTGGACTTGTCGAGGTCTAGAGGCTTTTCCCACAACTTTACGTCGTTTCAGGAAAGCTTCTGTAAGGAGATCCCACTCAGCAGCAGAGGAACCAGCGGTAATTCCCTGCCTTACTCTGGAACATAAACTTCCATAAACTGTTCACTAACCAATACAATATTTCAGCCGGACGGATCAGCGACAGTCATAAAACACGCATCGGTACGTTTAGTTCACATTACTTCAACACTCACAAATGCTGTCAGCAAAGAAAAATACATACAGAAGAAAAATAATAAGAAGAAGAAAAATACGCACAGTGGAAAAATACAAAATATCGGCGCAACTTCTATCAAGGGCAGCAACCGCCATGTCAAATTCATAGGCGCGCCTAATCAGACTTCAAGACATGGGGCCGCGTAAAATCCTTTCCCCAGGCTAGGGACAGAAAAAACCCAATCAAATTTTCTCCCTCTTTCCAACCGAAATTGCTCTACGAATGGACCAAATTGAGAGGTATGCATTTGTGTAAAGGTAGACATGTACTGAGAGAAAGAGAATCGTGTTGCTGTGAAACAATAAATTAGAGGGATTATTTCTTCCCCTAGCCTGGGGAAGGTGGATACAGCCTATTTTCATCTTTCTTCCCCTCACCACCCGCTGCAATAGCACCTATGTAGGTGGTCTAATCGTAGTTTTTTCAACAGTTTTCTCGACGCCATTTATTATTTTTGAGTCACATTACATCTACTGCCTACATATGTACCCTCTGTTTCAAAAAACCAGAAACGCGTCGAGTGCAGACCACACACCACAAGTGACGACGGCCTCCACAAAATGTAAATGTTTTCTGCCAATGAAATGATTAGCCTGTTGCAGTTGTATTCTATCAGTTGTCACTAATTACAACTATCATTTACCAACTATCAGCTATCACTATGAACACTAGTAACCAGATTTACTTGGAGCCGTCGTCACCTTGTGGTGTGTAGGTCTGCACTCATTGTGTTTCCGGTTTTTTGAAACAGAGGGCACACTACTACTCACTTCATGTCATCATGGAATGTGCTTTCAAGATGAGAGTTCTCCCATGAACTAAATTTTAATACTGTATGCCACCTGAAGGTGGTGTGTTTACTTACACACTAACAAATTCTATATTTCGAACTCTTTGTCTTCTTCGGAGGCCCGGACGTTGTCGAAGATTCCACCGACGCGAAACCCTAGCTCATGCCCAGGGTCAATTGTGACGTTCGGACTTTTTCAAAAATTTCGCGACCCCCTCCTTCAGGGGGGGCCTCGGTGCAACCCCTCCCCCCACCATCACCATGAGACTCAGGAGGCTCTCCTAATACGACCACCCTTCTCCCCCTCCCTCGCTATCATGTCTACGGTATTCGATTCTGAGACTCGTACACAGGACACCGCCCGTCCCCGCCCACTTTCGTCTAGCGGGTGGAGGGGTATATGTGAGTGCAATAAAACAGCAAATTTCCTCTCCTCCCCTCCCACCTAAGTAGTCCCAATCACCTCGCCATCGCCATTTACTCAGCAAATTACTAATCATCCAATTACTATTCTATTCATCTCCAGTATACAACCCCCACCCTTCCTAATACAATAAATGCGACCCCCTCGTTCGAATAGTGCGAACGCGCGGTTGACCCTGCTCACGTCCTGTGTTAGCTATGGCAACAGTAATGCGAATAATCTTCGACAATCTCCAGGCCTCTGAAGGAGATGAAATGGTCGAAGCGTAGAATTTGCAGGCCAGCAAATAAAGATTCCATCTTAAAAACCTCGTTTGGCATACAGTACTAAAAAATTACAATACAGTCGACATCAAGGGCCGAGGTTTCGACAAAGGAAGACATGGAGACCTCAGAAAGTGGCATTTCAGGCCGTTTTCAAGAAAACAGTGGGCACAAGTTCTAGACGAAGATCTGTAGCACAATCAAGAAAGGGAAGTAAAGTGAGGGCGAAGTGACGTGAAAAACGACATGTTTGAATGCAGTAACATATCAATCTTATTCTAAGCTTACATCAAATGCATAACAAAATGTTGTCCTTATGTTGAGCTGATTAAGTGAAGATTGTGTAATGAAGGTGTGTCATATGAATATAAGGATGTTGAAATCCACTTGTCAGACAGCATTTCTCGTTCAAGCTCAAGGCACGGCACACAATACTTGATCAGTTTCTTAGGGGCACACCCTTTATTCGAGGTGATATTATACGAAAATAAAAGGAGGAGTGCGAATTGGAGCGTTAGCGAAAGAAATGAATAGAACAAAAACGTTAGAAACAGGAGTTCACGCATTTGTCGAGTTCGGCCGCGTTACGGAAGTGAGGCAGTGAGCGCGGGAAGAGAGGCTTGGCGAAGGAGCACAACAGGTGAGAGGCTCCAGACACCTGCATGCTACGCTCAAGAAAAATGGAAGCTGTACAAGGAGTTTTCGAAAGCTCTGAGCCCCCTTGTCGCGCACTTTCGAGGCAAAGAATCGGTACATCTGCTGCTCCAGTGGACAACCTTCCCTACCTCTGAAAGGACCTAGTACCTACCGGAATTCATCGTGGGGTGCATTAGCCGCTTACTACTCTGCAGATCATTCTACATCTCCCTTGTCCACCTTCACTGAAGCCTGTTGGCACGTCCACTTTACTCTCCCATCCCTCCTTCTGATAAAGGGATGAAAGCTACTAGCAGACATGAGTTTCTCGATGAATATAGGAAATCCTCACATGCTCGCAGTCCCACCTGTTAAGTTTCATCATCCGAAATTCCAGCTACACGTCTAGCTGAACGGCGGGAACACCTACAGATGGAATGCAGCGGATGACTCAAACAGCACGGAAACAAAATTTGGCACCCATGGCATTGGGGAGGGGACTGTTGCGACCCGGTGCCCCGAGGTGGTGGTGGATGAAGCGCATCGGTGGCGGAGCACCGAGGACACGGCAGAACGGGTATTAGAAGGGCCCGAACACCCTGTCCTAGGGGGATGCGTCGCGTAAGGAATGCTCTGACGACTGTTGCCTGCCGCGAGCCTGGTGAGGCCCTCTCCCCTATCTGACGACCTTACGACCGTGCTGCTAAAGATGTGTATATTGCTACATAACAGAACACTAAGTATAAGGTGTTTATGCTAATATTACAATAGATTGCGAGACTACGTTATAGAGAAGGATAGAGAGATGGGAGAACCTACGGGCACGATCGGAAGGATAAGCGGCGGAGTGGTATGCGACCGATCCGTTGGCTGTCGTAGATGGTGTTGACGGCAGCTCCAACCATGGCTGAGGACTCCACGGACACAACCGCTCGGCGAGACGACTGGACGACGACTGACAGACAGACGAGCGCGGGCCGAAGGCAGAGATGCAGAGCACTTCCCGCACTTCTGGATGTTGCATGCGTTCGAACCATGGGAAAGTGTCTGCGTCCGTGAGAAGGCGTAGTATTTCGTCCTCCGATAGCGTGAGAACATGACTGGAGCATGGGGAAAGTATCGGCGCATACCTTGCACGTTGAAAAGGTCGTGACGAGAGTCGCGACAGGGACATTCACCGGCCTTTGAAGACCGTGACTTAGGTGAAACTGAGACTAAGACCAGGAAAGGGAGAACAGCCAATGAGAAGAAAATTGATCACATCCTCTAGAGTCTCTCCTCATTGTTGATCACCCATGGCATTGGGGGGGGGGGCATCCCTCGCTTTGTTGACGGATGATTTTTCATGAAAATCCCTTATCACCACTCACGTCAACCATTTTGTGGAATTTCCGAAAAAGCTCTTTGTGGTTGTCTTTGTAGCGTTGGGAGTGTTCATCACTACATCAAGGAATAGGGCTTAGGTCCAAGAAATGTAGCTGGCTCACCCACTTCAGTGCCCCTCCCCCTCCCCCACACCTAACGACATGAGCGCCCAACGTAGTGCCTAGTTATGAGCACTTCAGGAGTCCCTGTCGAGAGTAAGCCGCTAATCGTTGCTAAAATTAATGTCTGTCATAGGGTCCTGAGGCGCGGTTCGCTAGGGCAGAAAGCGACTTTCCCACTCTTCGCAGCGCGAAACCTTTTTCGCAGCGGAATCTGGAGGTCCAACACTAATCTCGAGTGGACCTGGTGTTCTCGCGGCGAGAGGCGGAAAAGGCGCTCTCTGTCCTAGCGAACCACACCTGGTACATTTTGTCACAGAAGGACTGGTGGCATTTTCTGTATTCAGGTTCTATGGAATGACCTGTTTTCTCGCATTGTTAACGGATGATCTCGCTTACAAGTCCCTTTACCACCACTCACATCAACAGCATATTGTGGAACTTCCGAAAACTTTGTGGGTGTCTTATGTAACGCTGGGAGTCTTATCAAATCACTATATCACGAAATATTTATAACACAAAAGATATGAGCGCCCCAGTTCTTTTAGAAGCTGGTTCATCCCTGCTCCCTTACAACATCCTTTGATATAAGGGCGTTTCTCCAAGAGACACACCGACATGCAACCGATATACCTGGTTTTCGTGGTAAGATTGAATTCCAAAAGGGGGGGGGGTGTTCATGTGATGCAACAATTCCTTCCGACGGCACGGCAATTAGTGCAGGCGGCTCGAACTATCGCACCTCATGCTGTTTATTGGAACAGACCTGGATTTTTCTATAGTCGTTTCAAGGAAGCATCATCAGCAGGACAGCTTTCACACTAGAGCTTGCGGTATTAGGAAAGATAAGCACAGTGAAGTTTTCGACATGCTAAGTTCACTTTTGGACGCTTCTGTCTCGGGAAGGAAATTCAGAATAGGGCTTCTGAAAACGCTGGTAGGTGACACTAGGGCCAAGCCCAGGAGAGGAGCAACACCAGGAAGGACAAAGGTTGCTTACATCCTCCCTCAGAATCCCTTCCTCTTCCAAAAGCTTGGTAAGTCCCAAGTCCTGGTGCTCACCCACTTCGGTGTCCCCCGACATGGGCGCCCATTTACGGAGTATGCCATTTATTGCTCTTCCATTCAATACCTTTAATGACCATTTGAATGTAATTTGACATCTACAATCAACTGC